TTTCCAACACTTACCAGACTCAGGCTTTCCATGCAGTATAAACATGTCAGAATTCTGACTTTTCTCCCTGGCACATAAGCGATGCATGGGTGGTGGGGGGCACAGGCTTATATGATCCCCAGATTTCTGCCAAGTTGCAAGTTGGCCAGAATGCAGCTGATGGGGACCTGTCTGGGAAAGGCATCAAGAGCTAGAACTCTTACAGGAATGCATGGGGCTCAGGGACCATGGGGGGGAATGGTGGCAGATGAGGGGAGGCATTGGGGCTGAGATGGGATGGAATTCAGTCTAGGGAGGCAATGGATACCAGGACACCAAATTACAAGTTTGCTGAGGGTGCCATTTTCCCTAAGGCCAGTCCTGAATATGGGAGGGACACCAGCACTTAGCAGTCCAGCTGAGCCCCAGTAAGAAGTGACCAGAGCAGGGGAGAGAGACTGGGCTGGCAGCACGGCTCCATCAGATGAGGCACAGGGAAGCCCGCTGAGGCCTGTCCCTTCCCCGCACCCAGTCAGATTTATCATGCTTGGCAGTAAGTACCTGGAGCTCTCTCCAGCTCATACTTTGCCTGCAGCCGAGTGGAAGGGCAACGGAAGAAGTAAGTGGGAAAGGTGTTGTAAGAAGAACTGGGGCAGGACTAGCTGAGGCAGGACTAACCATAAGGGTGGACAATGTGGGCAACTGTCCAAGGCATTGTGCTCAAAGGGGTGTTGCTGGAGGACACCAGGTCAGTCACCAGAAAGTTGACAGTGTCAGTGGTGACAAGAGAAAATTTGCCATGGTCATGGGGGTGCCCAGGATGTGTGTCTTCAGCTGCCTGTAAATTACTTTTCACTAATACTTAAACTCAAAGAAAGGGCACTAATATACAGATTTGCCCAAGGTGCCATTTTCCCTAAGCCTGGCTCTGAATGGGGGCTAGGTGATGCGGGATTGGGGATGGTATACGAAGTTTATTTCAAAACTTTCTAACCCTAATATCATAGCCAAGAGGTGTCTTTGACACTTGACCTTAATAATTGTTCTCACCTGACTTTCACTTTTGTTACTTAGAGTAGTATTCACAAATGTACTCATTAGGCCTTGGAATTATATTGTGCTTGTTACTTATTTTTCTGAAAGGTAGTTTGAGGACAGTCCATGGTTAAACTGAATAAATTCAATAACACACTTGGTTTTAACTTTGTATAGTGATGAAAATACAATAAAGTTTGGACTTTTTCTACGTGAAGAAAGCTAAATCACTAATGTCTGAACATGACTCTTCTGGAGTTCAGAATGATGTTAAGAGCAATGTGAGTTACAATGCTACTTCAGATTCCAATTCAAATGCTCATACAGAAGTGAGAACAACTTTCAATAAAAGTTGCTCATGACTAGGGATGTTAAATATCGGTTAACTGAATAGTCAATTAACCTCATGAATTCTTATCGGTTACTCACCTATTCTATAGTCCCCGGGGGTGGGGCCAGCAGCCAGTGTGCTCCAGTCCCTCTCCTGAGGAGCCCTCTGCCACTCAGCACAAGGGATGTAAGGGTATGTCTACACTACCCTGATAGTTCGAACTAGCGGGGTAATGTAGGCATACCGCACTTGCAAATGAAGCCCAGGATTTGAATTTCCCGGGCTTCATTTGCATAAGCAGGGCGCCGCCATTTTTAAAACCCCGCTGGTTCGAACCCCGTGGAGCGTGGCTACACGGGGCACGAACTAGGTAGTTCGAACTAGGCTTCCTAGTTCGAACTACCGTTACTCCTCATTCCACGAGGAGTAACGGTAGTT